GCAGCAGCAGCTACCGCTGCTGCTGCAGCTGCTGCAGACCTGTCGCTGCTGAGGGGCCCTAAACGGCCCCCTCCCTACACCAGCATATTCAAATGGTAGTGCTGCTGCGACAGGAGGCTCGCATGCATAGTTTGATGGGGCCCCTCTCCACTTCCTAGATTGCCTCTGCTGTTGCCGCTGTCGCTGCAGCAGCAACTGCTGCTGCTGCTGCTGTTGCTGCTGCTGCTTGGAGTGCTGCTTGTGTACATGTTGATATTGATGATATAAGTGGCGATCATGATGACGCGAGAAAAAGGTAGAAGGAGAGGCCCCGCTGTTTCCGCTGAGGGGGCCCCCCCCAAGGGGGCCCCTTGGTGATTGGGGGGCCCTTCTGCTGCAGCCAGTAGCAGCAGCAGCAGAAGCAGGAGGCACCCCTTCCTCAAGCAGCACCAGAGAAGGCTGCAGCTCTACTGCACCTGCTAACAGAGTCTGCTCCCAGAAGGCCCCTACAGCATCCACTGTACATTGGTGGAGAGACACCGCAAAGGGCAGCACAGTGAGGTCTACGTCGTACTCCAGCTGCTGCTGCTGCTGCTGCTGCTGCTGCTGGCGCTGCTGCTGCTGCTGCTGGGGAGGGGGAGGCAGCCAGTACTCCGTTGCTAGCAGCTTAAGCATGCAAGAAGTAGAGGGCCTCGGCCTTGTGATTTCATCTTCATGATAGCGCAGCAGCAAACCAAACGAAGAGCCCTCAACTAAGTCTTCTATACTTAAGTCCCCCACACGCACCCCGAAAAACCTCCTTAACCCTCCCCCGCTGCTGCTGCTGCTGCTGTTGCTGCTGCTGCTGCTGGTGCATGCAAGGATAGCGCTCGTCTTGCTGCAGCAGAAACGCAGCAAGTCAGGCCTTAAACCTAAAGGCGGCTGCACACCATCAGAGAAGTGAGGCCCCTGTGATAGAGTTAAATGCGCTTCTTCTATCTCAAGCTGCAGCAGGGGGCCCCATGATATCTGCAGCACAACGCCGGTCTCAGGGTCCTCAATGCGCCCCCGCTGCTGCAAGAGGGGCCCCCAGGGGCCCCCCAAGGGGGCCCCCAAGGGGGCCCCCCCTGACTCATCAAATAATGCAAAAGGCAGCGGCCAGCTGTCTTCTTCGCTGTTGCTCAGCGAGTCAAATGAAGGAGAACCGAAGAAATAATGCGGGTTTGAATATGCAGCAGCAGCAGCAGCCGCAGCAGCAGCAGCTGCTGCTGCTGCAGAAGGCGGCCCAAAGTAATCCTCTGTAGTCACAGCGACATGCACAGGTACTCTACTGCTGTTGCTGCTGTTGCTGCTGCTGCTGCTGCTGGTGCTGCTCTGGTTTGAGTCCTTCTCTAGTGCTGCCTGCACTAAAGGAAGAGACGGTGGTGCAGCAGCAGGCTCCTGGGGGCCCCCTGGGGGCCCCTCTCTTTCTTTCGAGTAGAGGGCAGCAACATGTTCTCGTGTTGCTGCTTCAAGGTCCTCCATTTCTTTTATTGCTGCTGCTGTACAAGCCACAGGGGCCCTGCAGCGAGGAGCTGCAGATACACCCAAAGAGCCGTCTCCTTCTGCTGCCTCCCAAGAAGACTCTGACTCCTCGTCGCTGTCTTCCCCCTCGCCTGTTGCTGCTGCTGCCGATGCAGATTTAAGCGCCTCCTTCACTCTATCCGCCCTCCCCTTGGCTCCTGCTGTTGCTGCTGTTGCTGCTTCCGTTCCTGCTGCTCCTGCTCCTGTTCCTGCTGCTGCTGCTGCTGCTCTATCGCGTTGGCTGGCCGCCTTTCCTCTAGAAACGCCTGCTGCTGCTGCTGCTGCGGGAGCAGCAGCAGGTGCAGCATCAGCATAGTCGCTGATGAGAGCAACGCTGGGCTTTTTGGGGAGCCCCGCGGAAGCAAGGGCACCTGCG